GAGAGATGTCGTTTTTCTATGGGGTTCTAGGGTGGTCCCCTGGGACTCCTGCAAACAGGACGTGCCTGGAACACCTACAGGGTGACGCATCCAAACAAAAACATATACGAGCCACTTTAGTTGAGTCCTCTCCATGTAGAGGAGAAGCAGTTTTAAGGGAGTGCCCATCCATCCTGAAAGCTCATTTCAGCCGCTTGAATTGACAATCTTGTTTTTGGCTGGGGGTACCAAGTGTAGAACAGCTTTCACTGTAATTATAGCTGTAAGTCTGCGGCAGTACCTCTCCATCTGCTATGGACATCTGGAATAAAATTTCTCTACTTTATAAAATTGTTGACTGTCATTCAGCCTGGATGGAAGGCATCTGAGCACAAATATCAAAACAAATCTTTCCTCAGATCCCAACATGAATCAAGACCAAGAGGTTACCAGGAAAGCCCTGTATACAACGAAAATTTTCCTCTCATTATTTTTAAAAAGCCTCCCTGCCCCTGCGAGGATAAGCCCCCCCCCCGCAGCGTGAACCTACCCCCATGTATTTGTCCTACATGGAGTATAGTAATTAAAATCACTCTAGTGACTCTTTATCAACAATGGTTATCATTTCTTTTAAGGATAGATTAGTAATCCATCCATCCATCCATTTTCTGTCACGCTTATCCCAAGTGAGGGGTGCTGGTGCCTATCTCCAGCTGCCTACGGGCGAGAGGTGGGGTACACCCTGGACAGGTCACCAGCCCATCGCAGGGCAACACTGAGACAAACAGGACAAAAAAACATCCACAAACCTAACAGTCATCTTTTTGGACTGTGGAAGGAAGCCGGAGTACCCAGAGAGAACCCACGCATGCTCAGGGAGAACATGCAAACTCCATCCAGAAAGACCCCGGGCCGGAACTCGAACCTGGAACCTACTTGCTGCTATCCACTGCGCCACTGAGCAGCCAATAGGATAGATTAGTAAAGTTAAATATTACTAGTTATCCTGTTTACAAATTTCCCACCTCTGCCTGGGATCTTTTTTTCATTACTTCTTCACAGTAATCATGGACTTCTAGGCTGTTTCTCTAGTTGATGTTTTAGTTGCCTATCCTGCATGTTTAGGATGAACTATGTTCTTGTAGCTGTAATTAAATTATATAGGTAAACTATATTTATGAATTAAGTGAGGAAAATGAAATAAAAATGTACCAAGATAAGTGAAAATGGGAATTATTACAATTGCATAACACACCATATATGCTTTACCTTTTTCTTTGCAATGATGCACTAATCGTTTCATTAAGCATCATCTTCAAATATTTATGTTTGTGGATATATGACACACATTTTGAAAAAAATTTGAGAAATGTATATTTTCACTCTATCAATTAGTCTTTATATCAACTGGTGCACAAACAAGGAAAATATATTAATAGACAAAAATCTCATTTATCAAGTGCAAAGTAACAGATCTGATCATTTTTATCTTGTTTTTCAGCACTCAAAGGTGGACTTGGAAATGTAACCGGATCTTCTCCAGGTAACTCACCTACACTACTACTAATACAGAAACTTTTAATCATACTTTAACTCAGTACCTCACGTTAAAGTGTTGATCACACAATAATGATTTCATGCAATTTTGCATAAAAATTATACAGCGGGACATACCACATGGTTCTGACTTAATATGGATCAAACAGGTTTATTGTTAACACAAATATCCTACATTTGGTAGCAACACGGTAGCAGATTAACAGCTACTTAGCAAACAAACAAACAAAACATCCTTTTTTTGTGACGTCAGAGGAAGAACATTCTGAAAATAGCCCAAAATTCTTTAAGCGAGATGGATTGAAACATTGATGGTTGTTCAAAAACATCTAATCTGGAATTGGTTTGTGAGGTTGAACCATTAGGCAGTTTCATCTCAAATAATGATGGTGAGGAACAAGGACCTTACAGCTCAGAACCATTCAGAGCAGACCTTTAGCCCATAAAGTCAGACCCTGAGCTGGAGGGTGGCGGCTAATATGACCACAGCAGCCCCAATAGAAAACACACGACAGGGAAACACAGCTTGAAACACCTGTGGTACAGATAATGTAACCAGCTCTGGGTATATAAATATCAATTAGTATATAATACTTTAAATTGACATGATTTTCAAATAAATCCTCCTATGCTATTGCAAGAAATTATCTACCAAATGATCAAAGGTATAGCTAGAAAATCCTGGTGCTGGTTAATTATGGTGAATGCTGGTCTAGCTGATGTCCACCAATTCACAATAGACCAGCATTGACCAGCATGAGGCAAAATAAACCAGCATCAGACCAACATAAAGCCATATAGAGCTCCACAAAACCAGTGTGGGCCAGCCAAAAATCCCAGCTTGAATTCAGTCTGTTATATGTGTACTTACTGCGCAATTATGCATGTAATATACTGAATTCTCTTTAATTTATTTCAGAGATCACTATCTTCCTCTTATGTCTGTTTTTATCAAGCTCCATGACCTAACTTGTTTCCCCATTTTTAACAACTGGAAAATAGGCAAATGATTTTTCCAGGACAAATGGGAAGCTACATTGGACTGAGAAAGCATGCAACATTTAAGGTTTTAATTTTTATGCATTTTAAATATATATTTACAAAATTTAATACATTTATTGCACATTAAAAGACATAGTATAACACTACCCCCTGACAGCAACAACAAAAAAATATCTTAAACTAAAACTATTGACTTCTTTTTCCACACAAGCACAAGCTTCTCTACAGACACAGAAAAAAATCTATCACACACCATCTATACTTGCAATACCAGTGTTCCTTTATTCAATACATTTTAGGCAAATGTTTTTTTATATCACAGGATGCTGTCATAGAGGCCTATGAAAAACCATAGGCAGCATTCAACAATATGTAACCCATACATCCAAACAAAATACAAGCAGAATACAAACATTATTATGAAAAGTCAGAACAAATATATATACATATGTAATGTAAGATTTTATACTTTTATAGCAGTGTCTCAGTTTTGATGCTGGATTTAAAACAAAGCTATAGAAAAACATCCATGCCATGTACAATTTGATCAGCCTCAACAACTATAACACTGTTAAAGACAATACCGAAATATGGTTTACACACTAATATAAAAACAGGTAATATTTTTATTGTCTTAACAATTGCTGCTGTAAGTGCTGAAGGGTGTGCAACTGTACCCATATAAATTAGCAAATTTGTACCAATAATAAGTATCATTTATTTGATACAAGCATGATATTTGGGAGGACATTCTGTTACACAGTTTACTTAACATAAAAATGGCAAGGCTCTATTTAGCCATTTCCCATCAATACTAAAAACGATGTAGGATGTAATACAGCAAAGGGTCAGAGTCCCCACACTATTATTGCCACTTTTTTACCCATTAGGCTTTACATAACTTCAGCCCTGATTGGTCCAGGACCCACTTCTGACAGACATCTAGAGAGAAGGCAGTAGTTTTGAAAAACTGCGAAAACTTCGTATATCTGGTTGGTTTCAGTCCCTAACGATGCTTTAGTAGACCATCTATAAATCTGTCTATATCTATATCTATATCATATATATCCATGCTTTGTCTTCTCTCATTGCCGACAACAAGAGGTTTACCTTCTCCCCGTCTTCTACAGTTCTACATGTCATTCCTCAGCTTTGCCCATGTAAATCTCATTACAAATTCCCCTACCTACAAACCAACCTCAGTCTATTTTTGCTGACTAAATAACTGTTGTCCATCCAACATTTCTACTGCCGATTGTGTTTCAGTTCCTTGAGTGCATTTGCCAGAATGGATGTTACAATGGAACAGTGAGTCCACATGACTTAAACACCTGTGTGAGTGTTGTCTGTGTAATCCGTTGTGGAAAATGGCCTGCCAAGATCCACCAATATTTCACATCATATGAGTGTATGCTGTTTTGAAAGAGGTGAAGATCCAAAGGCAGCTACACAACAGACCAGAAGGATCCAACTGAGCTTTTCCAGAAGAGCTAGAGCAACATATGGAAAATATCAAGATCCAACTACACAACACATATTTCTCGCCCCAAAATTTTCGGGAGAACTGCACTTAAAGTAGAAGGTGAATGGTGGTCTTCTTAGGAGTAACGACTATACTAACAACACCAGCTTATTCAACCAGGAAGGAGAGAAAGAAAAGTGAAAAAAACATAAGGTTTTGGAAATCTGACACAGGCTCTCAAGACCTGGACCAAAACACACTTGGACACTGACATCCAAAATCCTAAAGAAAAACAGCAGTTGCGACTACAAAGGCACATAGCTAGAACAAACTAAATAGGACTACATGCCTGAAGGAGGGAATGGACCAGATCATTCTACAAATCACTGAATGTCACCAGCGTCTGAGTGATAATCCTGTAATTCTTAAGCCCTGGTATGAAAAGAAATATCCAAGCAAGAATTACCCACCTAGAATTAACATCTCAATCAATGTAGATTTCTTTAAGGACATCTGATGCTATTCTAGTCTGTCTACTCTGTGATACTGGGAGGAAGAATCCAGAATAAGTCACATGGACCTTGAAAAATGCCTTTGGCCGGATGAAAACATGGGATAATGCTCTACCAGGGGTCTCAAACTGGTTCCCGAAAGGGCCTTGTGGCTGCATGTTTTCTTTCAAACCAAGCAATGGCACACCAGAGTCCATTCATCTCATCAAGTTATCATGTTCAGTTTGCACTGAGTTGATAAGTCAGCCCCACGGCCCTTTCTGGAACCGGTTTGAGACCCCTAAACCATGTTCTAGCATTCCCTCTTCACTGAATTCACAGTTTTAAAGTGATCCTTGTTAGTTTGGTTGTCTCGTCCTGTTAACTTCTACTGTTCGGTGCTTAGTTCTGTACTTCCTGGTTACAACAGCCTAATTTTCAAACCCCCAAACTGTCCTCTACAAATTGCCCTTTTAAAGGCAATTTTCAATTATGGATCAGTTCTGAGCTGTTCAGTGCCATGGAGATTCACTAAATACCATCAAATCCCTTGAAAAAAACTGCTCTTTTCATGTCAATTTACCCAACAAGGTTGCCTTAACCGTGAGTTATACGGTCAAAAATGAAAGAACTTTAAATAAATGATAATAACTAAATAAACAGTGTTTTTATCCTTGGAGAAGTAACATTAATCTTTCAATACCAATCAGCTAGAACCTTCCTTTGTGGCTGCTTGAGTAATTTACAACAAAGATGAGCAGTGGTTTTTATTTTATGGAGCTCCGTTATGGACAAAGACACAACTATGTTGCACTTCTACAATTATGTTGACCAGCAGAAAAGACCACAGTTTTCCATATACAGCACAGGAAGTGGTAGCAGATGGATATAACCATGTAGCTCAGCAGGATGTTTCCAGAAGCAGAAAATAATCTGTTTTCTTTGTGGTGAAATAGAAGTATGGTGTGCTGCAACATTCTGAAAAAAATAACAAAAGAAAACAATAGAAACAACAGAGATAAAAATAATACGGTTGAAACCAAATATACTCTTATTTTATTTTTTCATTACAAGCTAACATTTGCATAGCTGTAAGGGTAGCTGCAACAGGAAATGAGAAAAAAAGTGACGATCTAGAGATCTGTTGTTTGAGCCTTTGATGTACTTAAATATATCAGGAAATATTATATGAGCAATTGCAGCATGCAGTGTTTATTTTTTATTTAGTTTTTTTGTTTGTTATTGTTTTTGTTTGGAACTATCCCAACCAACCAGAGTCTAAGGGATTTTTTTTAAAATATTTCTACAAAACCTGCCCAAAGCTGATTAATGTCTGCCATTTATAATTAAGAAATACAATCAAAAGAACAAATTGCAAAAAAATAAGTAGGTTAAACAAAAATGAGTCACTGGTTAACTGGTTAAGTGCATGAGACAGTTTAAAAACCTTAAAATGAAATATATAATATATTTGTTTTTACATCTAAAAAGATGCATTTAGATTTTCCTCAAGACTTGTGCATGCAGCACCTGGCTTATAACAAACTCAGCCTTTAAGAAAGAGGGATAGACTCATATACAAAAACAGTGGTGGTACTGTTATAGTCTGGGGTTGATTGCATCTAAGCCTGATTAAACCATTATCCTCTACCATAAAAATCCTGAAGGAGAATTTTCAGCCATCAGTTTGCACCTTAAAGCAACACTGTGCAACTTCTTAGCCTCTAAGGGAACTAAACCTGTAACCTCCAGGTTTAGCCCCACTGAAGGGCATTGGCAACACTGCGCTTTGGCCAAATTAAACAGGCTGGGTCCGTGATTTGGAATCTGATAGCAGCGCACTTTGGAACAGCAGATTAAGAAGTCCTGGACAAGATTAAATTATCGATGAATCACTAAATCAGAGAACCAAAACTATGTCTCGTCAAGTAAGTACCATGTCTGTTTTTTTGCCTAACAACATCTATTAGCTCAATCAACTTTAGTACAGTGGTGCTTTGGGTCACATTGCCCTTTCTGCGACGGATTCAACCCTCAGTGCTGAGTTTTTCAAGAAGAGCAGCCTATGCAGGGTTGATACCAATGACCTAATAAATCGTTGAATATGTCTCATACTATGCTTATACTTGGGTCAACGGTTATGCAGTGTCACTTTAATTTAAAGGGTGAAAAGAGTTTTTCGAGAGGCTTACTGTAGTCAAAGTCTGGACTTAGAACCAGTTGAGACACTGTGACTTGACTTTCGACCCAAAACGCCATTAATGTCTAAAAGCAAGAACATAGAACAGGAAAGGTGAAGGGGAAAAAAAGACAAATTACTTGATGGCAGGTCACAGTGGTGACCCCTAGAGTGGCAAGACCAGAGGTAATTTTTTTAGATGTAGTATAGCCAGGATGGTGTGAAAACTGTTTTGGATTATAAAAGGAATCTTTAGTGGATTGTGCACAGCTTTACAGTTAGCTAATGCCTTTTAAGAAAGGAGTCATGTTTCAGAAATCTATCCATCCAGTTCAAGTATGACACGCTAAGAGAGTGGAGGCAACCCCCCCACCTGGAACCAGTCCAACCAATTTGGTCGCAACAATACCCAGCATTCCTCCAATTACACCCCAGCATCCAGAACAAAGCTCACCTGAAGGATAATTCACATCAAGTCGGTCTACATTCAGGAGATATTTATTGCCTATTTCTGGAGGGGGGTAATCAGAGACATTAGGTGTGTTACTGAGAACAAAATGTTTCCTTTTCTTTCAGGAACTCCCCAAGTTATTTGTGATATCAGTCAATTATGTTCCAACAACAGTAAGAGTCACTCTCACTACTCCAATCTGACTGTTTCTAATTGATATTTCGTGGCCTAACTTTGCCTTATCTCTACCTTCAGGCGCTTACTACTGGATGTCCATAAGTGTGGAAAATGAAACAGAATTTGCCCTTAACTTGGTAAGGACGCCCCCATCAAACGTGACTGTGTTTCCTATGCATGCTTCCATTATTCTTTCACTAATTGATGCATTTAATTACTATAAATGTCACATACCCAGAAGCCAGTTTAACCAGAGCCATATCAGCATATAGTAGCAGAACAATTTTGCTCTGTTAAGCACTTAAAGGCAATTTTAAAGTGAACCGACTGCTTGACATAATTGTGTAGTTAATAACCAGACAGCATCTTCTGACATTTACAGCTCTGTGGCTCTTTTTCCACTGTGGCTGTATGTTGGCCACCCTGCATATTTTTCTACAAGCCCTGCTGTGTAAAAAAACTCAAATAATATGAATAAAATGAATACATTTTCATTTAGCAGATTATTTTGCTCAGCAAAAAAAAACTGAACTCCTTGCTGTTATAATAGCTATGTACCCATTTTGCCAATGTGTTCAGTCTTTATGAGTCTTGCAAAAGTATTCACATCCTTCAGCTTTTTTTATATTTTGACATATTCTATCCTAAAATTTCTAAGAGTATTGCCAGCATTGTATATAATAAACAAACCAAGCCTTTGTAGGGCTGAGAAATGGGTGAAAACCGATGAGTGATTTTCATTAATATTTATTTTTAGAAATGACCGAAATCTGAATTGGCTATTTAGATTCACTCAGCAAATTAGAAAATTATGGAAAAGTCCTTTTATTTCAGTTGCTCTATTCACTGAGTGAACATATGAGACAGATGTTTTCAAGCTTTTTTTTTAAAGATAGGGTTTCTTTTGCTTTAAGTGAATAAAAAAAAACATCTAGGAAAAGAATATTACATCAAAAATTTAAAAAGAAATTAATTTATGACAGAAATGTGGTTAATAAAGTTCAATTTTATACCTGCTTAAAGTTTTTTTAACGGTTTTCTTTATCTGATAAATACCGAAGCCTCATCATTGTAATTTCTGAACATGACTTTATCAATTTGAACAACTGGTCCATTCTCTGAACATGACTTTGTCAATTACATGCATATGCTTTCATCATACATTTTATTGGAGCTCTGGCTGTTTTTCCTTGGATTTTCCCAGATTTAGCACCATCAGTTACTGTTTTAAATCTGACCAGCTTTCTTATTGATCATTGATCATGTTGCTTCTGTTGCTTAAAAGCCATATTTATGAAATATACAGCTGACTGTCAAAGTCATTCCAATTTAACTGCAGATGTTTGCAGATTCTCCAAAATAAAATACACATAAATCATGGTGCAGTGCATTGTTTGTACTTCTTTACTGGAACTATTTTTATTTAATACTCTTAATTGAAAAATAAAATCTCAAGTAGTTTGTAAAAAATTACTATTATAATAATTTACTGTAAGCTAATTCGGAAAACCTTACTGTTTCCGCTTTTAAAAGAAAAGATTGCAGCTGATTTTCTCCCTTCAGCCCAATTAAAAATGGTTTGCAAGGTTAACTGATGGGGAAACACCTCATGCTCTTTATGTTCTCCTTAGGAAGTAACAATCTGTTAAACAGCTGTCAGTTCCCCAAATCCACTGGTCACTGGAGGGTTCAAATAAAATTTGCAAGTAGATGAGCTTAAAGTGCAGAGAAACAAATATTTGATGGCGTGCAAAAGTCTGAACAAAAAACAAAACACCACAGGGGACAGATTCTTCATCTTTATTCAACTTTCTGGTTCAATAAAGAAGAGGGGAGTTTCCAATAAAAACATTGTCGTTGTATTTCTCCATAATGTTCAGGTATGGGAAAACAAACCTAGATATCTGCAGAGTGCCAGACATTTCTATTAAATTTCCCCTGGAAAACACTTCAGACTGGCCTTGTTTTTTTGTTTGTTTTTTTTGCAACAGATCTAGTCCCTTTAGATGCAATAAAATGCCGAAACAAATATCAAGTCATGCATCTACCATTAAACTGCTAGTTGAACTGTTAGTTCATATCCACAGTGCACAGTGGCAGATGGAGTCCAGCGACATTTCTCTTTCTGCTTGAAATTAATGTGTTAGAGTTTTACTACAATGATCTGCTTTTATCTGCTCCCATCTCTCACTCAGGTGTCAAAAGTATTTTCTTGCAACAGGACCAGCGGTGAGACATCGACGAGCAATTCAAACTGTATTAACTTATTCAATGATTTTCCGGAACTTGAGGTAAGACATTTCCACAAACATGACAACAAATCTTTACTTTTCAGCACTGATGTTTTTCTGTAAATAAGACCAAGTGGTGTAACTGCTCTTCTCAGTTGTTGCAGGTTGAGGAAGTTTCATGCAGGGAAAACACTACATCCAATAAAAGGTACTGTAGCAATTAGTCCATATAGTTGTTAGATAACTTCTGCAATTAGGACTGCAGGCATGTATCTGTAAATATTTGAACACCTTTTTTTGCAGACAAACCGTATGCAGTGTGGTTCTGTTCCTCAAACATGCAATTTCAGCATGTGATCTGCAACAGTATGGAGAAAAGGCCCTGAAAAGTGGATCCGTACAAGCACTCATCACAGGGAATGTTGAGAGAGTTGGTGAGCCAGTCTGAGATATGAGATATGCAAATGTAATTTTCACTTAAAGGCAAAAGGAGGAATACAACATAGACTATCTTCTGTTGCATGTGTTCTTTATCACCTGCAAGGCAGAAATTTTAAATATCAACTCAAGATGAATGGGATAGACACTATATATATACAAAGCATTCACAATATGCCATTTGAAGATCTTGGTAAAGTTTGATGATGTGTTTTGTCAGCCTAAATCAAAGAAATATCTGAATTTTAATAAGAATTTACTCACACATTTAGACTCTTAGGCTTGTCAAAGTACTTACGTTTGTAATTGGAATATTCTTTTTTTGGCTCCAATTTGCATCTTAAAGTTGTCATTTGAGGTAGTAGGAAATTTGCTGTTTAATTCAAACCAGTTCAGGTCTATTCGACCTAGTCCAATCCAATGTAGTCTTATGTTTAATCTATTTTAATTCAACCCCATAAATTCAATTCTTGTCAATTCCATCTTTTCCAATCTATTCTAAATTGATCCAATCCAATACAATCACGCAACCTAACCTCATTTTACTTCAGTCAATCAAGTCAAGTCCAACACTGTTATGTTGAGAAGTCATTTGCACCCAGTTCCAATTCAGCTCAATCTAATCCAATTCGGATTCAAACTAGTCCACCCCAGTTCGATCCAGATTAATTTAAATATATTCAATTAAGTAGATTAAAATCCTGCCTAATCAAGTTTATCCAGTTACATCCAGTCCAGTTAATCTGATTTAATTCAAACCAATCTGGGGCCATTTACCCCAGTTCAAATTAATTCAATCCAAATAACCAATAGGCTACAGAATGTTATTTGTAATTTTTTATGTGTAAATTAAAAATGAGTACACAGTCGACTCTAACAAAACCAACAGATTCCAATGAATCTTTATTTCAAATCAGTTCTAATGTTTAAGTTATTTATATAAATAATTATTTCTAATCTGCACTTTGTTTGAGGCCTGCTGTTGTTAAAATGCTTTATTAATAAAGCTGCTTCGGCTTAGCAATCTTAAAACCATAAGCAGACAAAGGAAAGCTAAACTCTAGAGATATCCCGTGCTGCATGATTTTATATAGCAGGACAAAAGAAGTAAATGTTTTATGAACGTGTTTCTTTCTAATCTCATTGTAAAGATATCACAACATTAGATAAAGGCGGCACAACAAGTTTTTAGGGACTGAGACATAAGTATATATCATCACTTTTATAACTGCAGAGGTTCCAGTGTTTTCTGGGCTAAAGGAGATAATATAGGCAACTTAGGAAGCTTTAAACTCAACACTGCTGATTATTTGCTTCTGTCAAAACAACCCAGCTATCTGATCAAACTCAGGTAAGCCCTGTGAAATCGGACCAGAAAATGGCACATTACACCCAAGATATATCACAGCAAAATCTAATTACATCAGAGGAAAGTATAAGAAGCCTTTTCAAAAGTTTAGAAAACAGGGTTGTACTCAAACTAGACTGATTAAAACTTCCAGCATATGAGATTTGCTTGAAATAAAATGGGGGTGTGCTCTAATGTGGGATCAGCTTTCAGTCATTGACTTGAAAGCGGGGGACTCAGGTTCCATGCTGCACTTCAGTTATGAAAACTGTATCTTCTGCCAAGTGCTCATTTGTGGACTTTGCCAAGTGTAACAGGCAAGTCCTAATGACTTGATCTGGTCACCACTGAATAAAGGGAGTAGCTGAAAGGACACAAACAAGGTCGTATGTAGGATCAGGTGTTATCACTCACTTCTCAAAACTGCCGTAGTCTACACCATTGTAACTTACCACATTATGCATGCATGCAAACTGGAGGCAAATGTTTTACATGGAAACACAACATGACTTAAATATAAACAGCCTTCATGTAAATACAAAGAGCTTTAGAAAAGGGTGCACACAAACATGAACTCAGTCTGTAAGGAATGTAAGATGAAATGCAATCTACAAAATTGCTCTAAATCTCTAAGAATGTAATGTATTTACTGTAACAAGTTAAAATCATGTAAAGGCCATTATTTTGTTGGTTTCTACCAAATCAGGCCGGAATCTCTGTAAGGATGGGTTGCCCCCTAGTGATGGTTTTGTGAAATGCATGTCCAATTCTTCCCTGGATGAAATCTGTCAGTCAGAGGAAAGAACCAAAGTCAAATGGTGAGCTGTGACCCGTATTGCAAGTTGGGTGTTCTGTGTCCATCTGCACACTCTATATGTTCT